AATCTCTGTGTCATCTGCTTTGTCAACCCACTACTTAATAATTGCCACATGCTTTCGCTCATTTTGTTTTAATGCACTGTTTTATGAGGTTGTGTTTTATTGATGTACACCACCTTGGGATTTGTATGAAGGATGGCGTAACAAAATGTTAAGCAAGCAAACCAAGAAAAACGCAGCACCTTTGACCCTCCAATTCAATAGTGGCACTGCACTGGATAGGTAGTCTACACATACACTATGTTAGGGCAGGCAAATCACAGTATGGTAAACATGGATGCAGAGAGGCACAATCTCAAGGCTTCATTGTGAGAGCTGCTACCTTCCTTCTGTGGATCTTGAGGGTCTTCAGAGCCCCAGGGGCTTCTCTTGCCTTTAGGAAGCACCTGGTCAGCTCTTCAGTTGACTTCAGTTGGCTTCAGTTGTCCCATCCTCAGAGCCCTTCTCAGATCTGTTTCTTTAAGCAGTTTTGCTTCCCCATTAAGCCCTCTGTCATCGGACCTCATTTCCTCCTCCTCAGTTCCGTTTGCAATGGCTTGGTCTCTCCTGCCCACATTTCACTGGACCCCAGAGTGGGGCCCCCTCCCTCGTGAGGAGAGGTGCAAAGACCTTCCCCCTGTAAGCAAGCGCAGTGGTGGCTGATGCTGTTGCCTTTTTTCTCATCGACAGAGAGGAAGTCCTACACCTTTTTGCGATCATACGCCCTCCTCTGCTCTTTAAAACATGGCAGCTAATTTGTGTTACTCCACATCTTCTACAGCAGCCATTTTTGTGTGTGTGACAGATGCCCATAGCACCTGTCCTTAAAAGGGAGCAGGATGTTTGTGTCACAGCCTGCGTATTTCCTGTTCACAGGATGTTTCTGTTGTGTCTTTGCTTTCGTTTTCTCTCTCTGTGTCGGAGACACTGAAGCAGGCAGTCATGTTTTTCTTTGTTCTGACCAACGCTGAATAAACTTGTAAATAATACTCTCCTGCGTGCATCTTTCGCTGTGAATTATCTGCTGATAGAGCGTGCATCAGCTCTGGAATGTGGCAAGCTATTTCTGGAGCTCGTGTCGCTAATTGCTGATACTGTGTGTCTACGGGAGATCGATGGACGTCCGGAGATGACTTGTGGGGCCATGATGGACTTTGTCTCCATGGCAGTATCCCAACACTTTTTGCGATCATACGCCCTCCTCTGCTCTTTAAAACATGGCAGCTAATTTGTGTTACTCCACATCTTCTACAGCAGCCATTTTTGTGTGTGTGACAGATGCCCATAGCACTTTCCCAAAATTTCAAATGCACCTGTTGGCCCCCAAAAGTTGGCTCCCCCTGTTGCAAAGTGTGTGTAATGTAACGCAGCCCCCCAGAACTTGTTTGTGGAGGAGTTTTGTAAAGCACGCATGCTTGGCTTTGCTGTTTTGACAATGCTTCCGACGGCATATTGGCTCCTTAAATCGCTGGCCTATTGTATCAGTCTGCTAATACATTTTACCAGGCAGTAAACTAAGGGCCAGGAATCAATTGCCCATCAATATTCTTGATTACCTTTAGGTGCCCTGCCTTCTGAATCTTAAAACGACTGGAAGGATCCATGGAGACAGATTGCCAACTTTTTACTTTTCTCCTGCTACCTCACTTAGCAATCATTAAGATCCATTTCATGAGATATGGGCGATAATTTGCCATCTTTTATCACAGCGTGAAATTGCTGTTTAGAGCCCCTTTTGTCCACTTCATCTTTATTTCATATGTAAGATAACTGAAAAGGCCTCCCTGCTTGCTTTTAAGATCAAAGTGATTGTCAGCTTCAGGGAAAAAAAAGAGAGAGAAGAGAAAGAGAAAATTGAACTCAAAAAATCAATGTATATTGCTCTTCTGTGAGTTTCCTCGCCTCCTTCTCTGAAGAGGACCAAACTTCTTAGATTATGTATTTTGAAGAGAAAAGCAGACAAAGATGTCTCTATCTATATTTAAACTGTCAAGATGTATCAAGTTCAAATGGGAAAAATAGTGTTTAAATACCAGCCTTCCTCTTATTCACTGTAAGTGTGCGGAGGGCTTCCCTCCACTCTCTTTGAAGAAGGACTTTGAAAATAACAGATTAGCCTTAGGATGTGTGGCAGGGACTCTTTATTATGTCCAGTAATTGCAGGTGGAAAGGAAATGTGCCATTACAAATCCAAAACATTTAAAAAGCCCTAGGTTAGGTCTCTAGCAAGACACTCCCAAATCAAAAGACTGTCTAACGAAGGCAAAACTGTCTCTCCTTTAGGCACATAACATTTCCCAGTGGCCTCTTCTCTCTTGCACTTGGGACAAGGTGAAAAATCCCTCCCATCTCTGAGTTCCCTAGGATACACAGACGTCGCACCTGCTTTTTGTCCCACTTGCATGAGCCAAGACTGCCGAGTCCTTTGGCAGGCATGGAAAACTTGGGAGAAGGCTGGGTTCTTCTCTCCCGTTGGAGATAAGTCTTGGGAAAAAGTCAGAAGGTCTCAGGAGGCTTTCCGCCTTCCTTAATGCTAGGAGAGTTGAGCGGCTTCTGACTTTCTTCAAAGAGAAAGTCTTTGGTTGGCTGCATCCGGTTTGGGCTGATAAAATGACACATGCAGGCCAGGATTCAAAGTGCGATGCACGTGAGTACCTTTTTCAGATCCCCCTTCTCACCACAGATGCTGCGCATCCTCAAAAGCTGCTCCTGAGGCTCATGGGATCATCTGGAGAGGAGTGCAGTGCAGCACAGGGGGACGCAGACAGGGTGGACCAGCCCATCTATGTGCAGGGACATGAATTCTACTCACGCAGGGTGCTGGTTTTCATGGGTGACCATCTTTGCGGAGGCCCAGATGTTGTCCAGAAAGTAACATGGCCCTTGCAAGAACAGATATTGGGTATCTTGTGTCTGGGATCTTTATGAGCCCATGGGTCAGCTATCTGCCCTGAATATTTATGGCTTTTTTAATGAAGGGGTGGACGGAATTGACTGCAATGACCTTCATTCTGCCCTCGACTGAACAGTGGTTCACTTCTGCCTCGCGATCTAGTCAGAGCCCATAGCAGTTAACATATTGCACAGCCTGAGTCTACAGTGCAGTGCCAGTTTGTTCCAGATAATTTAGCAAGCCCCCTCTGAATATGCATTGGATACCTCCTGCCTTCTCTGAAAAATCGTCTGTCAAGCTCGAAACATATGCATATGAGATAATGGTCTATATTTGATACACAATTTGCTGCCTTTGTACTTTTGCAAGCTGAAGTAAAAACTACGTAGGAGACAAAACACCTGGGATTGGAATAGAATCCAAAGTTTTGCCTGCAGAATTTAGAAGCATCATGAATTTTCGAGCATCATGACAATACCACAGCTATTAAACGATTTGGAAAAAACCACCCATAAATATAAAATTTGTGAGATTAGACCTACAATGCATTTCTGCACTGTAGCATGATTTCAGCTTCAGACATTCTGAATTATCCAGAATGGATTTACCCCAATAAATATACTTTTTTATCTTTGGCAACTAGCATGTTTGTTTGTCCACATCTTTCCCCCCCTCAACTTAGCCTGCAATAGGACATGGGTTGGTTCTGTTGTGTATTGGCATGTTGCTTTGGGAACAATTTTTTTGACTGGAAAGTGGGGTACAAAATAATTAATTGAGGTAAGGTAGGATGGAATTATGCTGCCTATATAATAGTCTCTTTGATCATTTAATGAACCCCCTCACTCCGTTTTATGATTTATACATGTTTGAGTGCCAGGATTATCAGGACCAGGGGCTTTTCTGTGATGGCCCCTAGCCCTCCCAGGACCCACATCTATGTTAACTTTTTATAAGCAAGCAAATGCTCCTTTATCTTGGGGATTTATTTTGAACTTGAAGGAGGCAAAGACCGTTTCTGTCATTTATTTTTGCACTGCTCTTAAGGTGTTTGCGGTAATTTTGTTGACTGTTAATTTTTAATTTTAATTTTGTTGTGCTTTTAAATGTATTTTGTATTGGGCTCTTTGAGCTGAAAAGTGGGTTATATAGTAACAACTAACAATAGTACGTAGCAGTAGATTCAGTGCTACCATTCTAAAATCATGTTGTATAGCAGAGAGGTCCAACTTTGCATACCCAAGTGGGCTGCAAGAGTACTTTGACGCGGAACCCGTGAACCACACATTGCCTTGTTACACGCATGCGCTGGGGGTCAGGACAAGGCCAAAATCTGATTGCCCCCCAAGCCCTTGTACTTCCTGCCCAAAGCCAGCTAAGCGAGATGCTGGGTTTGGGGAAGGAGGCCCAAGGCTTTGACCATGGTCCTACAGCCCTCCCACCTCCTTCCCAAAGTTGGGAAAGTGCTAACTAGGCTTTGGGAAGGAGACAGAAGGACTCTAGGTCCCTGTCAGAGCCTTGCGCCTCTTGCCCAAAGCCCAGCGCCTTGCTTACTGGGCTTTGGGAAAGCAACACAAGGGCTGTGGGAGGGATGCCAAATGTGGCCAAGGGCCACCCAAAAAGGCCTTGAGAGCCACATGCAGCCCGAGAGCTGCACTTTGGACCACTCTGCTGTAGAGAATTAAGAAAGGTTAAGTTAATGTAAACATTAAGTTACATTACATTACATTACATTAAGTTAATGTAAAGCAAAGTTAAGCTCAAGGTCACATTTCTGCCTGGCAAAAACACCTGAGAAGGATGCAAAGCAGGACTGGCTTGGGGAGAGCTCCAAGGGCCAGATTCAGAAGCTTGGAGGGCCACATTTGTCCTCTGGACCTGAGGTCCCCCACTGTAAGTGCTGCACAGCACAAAGTCTCAGAGCAACCATTACAATACAAGAAGTTTGAATCGCTGAATTCAAATACTATAAAGACCTCAAACACAAATGCAGAAACTACCTCCCGCCCCTAGTGGCCAGTGTAAACTATGTTTCATCTTCCACTAGAAGAACCGTGGAATCATAGAGTTGTAGAGTTGGAAGGGACCATGAGGACCACCTAGTCCAACTCCCTGCAATTCAGGAATCTTTTGCCCAACATGGGGATCAAACCCATGATCCTGAGATTGAGAGTCTCATGCTCTACCAACTGAGCAATCCCTCAGGACCTAGAAAAATAATAATTCCCAAACAAATTATAAGGTTGCAAACCAGCATGAAAGAATGTTTACTCTTACCTCTGGTCATGACAATTCCTGCAAGGGATTTGTGACGTGCATAGATGGCAGCAAAATTATCTGTCACCTCTTGAAACTTCTGCGTAATCATTTGATAGAGGGAATCCGCGAATTCCTGAAAAGACACAAGCAGAAGCCGTTCTTTCACTCTGCTGGACTGGAGCAATGGTCTGCAACTGTCAATAAAATAACTTCTTTGCCACCTTTCTCCTTTAATAAAAATGGCTTTGTCATTGCCTATATCCAGGTCACAACAAGCACAATGGCACCACTTTAAACCTCAATGTGAAATTAATCTTATTGCTTCCGCAGACACACACACAACTTTTTCTACCAGTAGTTACAGCCATTGGAGACTCGCATAGATGTTGCCTGGCTCGTTAAGGCTTGTTAAGTTACACTGCTTACTACTAGAAGCTCAAGATCTGCCAGCCAGAGACAAAATAGAATGAAAGGTGCTTCTGAGTACCTTCTAAAGCAAGGAATATGTTTTCAGTACCACATCTCACAGCCCTTTCATGCAACAGTCCTCTCTGGCTTAGCTTTCTTAGTTTCCAACAGCCTAATTTAGGTGGGATGAGTGCAGAGAAAATAAACGCCATGATGCACCTGTTGCAGCAAAACTGGACACCTTCATCTCCCCCCCTGCAATAAAACGTGTCTCTCCTGTATCAGTCTCTACAGCCACAGCAGGCGCTGTAACTCTCCAATGGTTTGACCCCTGAAGGTGCACTCCTCCATTGTCTCCTGAGACAGACAGATTACAACAACAAATTTAGGTGGAGAAAGCTATTTTGTTGTTGAGATTGCTGACTAACTGGGTATGAAGTTGGCTTCCACTGAGGCTCATCTTGTGGCTTTGATCCACCACGGAGCAGATGATCTGGACTTGATGCCATCTCCAGCCTTCTTGTAATATGAGTAGGAACTATAAAGTGATCTGGAAGGGGAGGGAGAGGATCAGTTCTGGATGGGACCAGCAGTGAAAGGAAGCCAAGGGGCATTTTTCTACCTTCAGTTTTCTATCTAGTTTTGCAGTGGCAGAACTAAAAGTTTATTCCTTTCAATCCCGTCTTTGCGGATCATTTGTGAACTTGCAAATCCTACACTTCCTGCTCTGTACCCGAAGCCTTTCTTTTGCTCAGCCTAAGTTCCACCGAGAGAAGACCCTGGCCCAGGACCTGCCTGAAATTTGTTGGCGGAATGGGCTAAGCAAGAAAAGGAGCCCCCCTCTCTAAAGGAAACCCTGTAAGTAAACATTTCATTCTGCGAGAACACCTCTGCCTTCTGCTCAGACATAAAGGAGCAAAATCAGAACACGCTTCCACCCGAGTGCTTTGTCTCGAAAGATTTGTTCACATCCTGCCTGCCATATGGTTCTGGAGCAGCTATAATAATAAGTGCTCATTAATTATTAAGCTTTGCTGTAAATAAATACAGAAAAAGCTGTCTCAGTATAACAGTACATGGATCAAGCTGTCCCAGCACAGATGTAAGTCATGCGTGTGCTCTGCTGTTGACATCTTTCCTCGCTTCCCGCTCCGAGTCTTCCTTTTAAAGTGAATGTTATCATCGTGTCTCTGAGCACCCAGAGACACCCTCTTTCCCAGCACACACACACACACACACACACACACACAGCCTTTCAAAACATGTGGCCACAAACCTGGGACTGTAACTGAGTTTGATCAGATGCTGCGGCCCATCCTAGCCATCTAACGTGCCTCATTCACACATTGCATCATCATCATCATCATCATTATTGATGGTGGTGTAAAGGTGGGATACACATTAAATGGATATGCAATTGATAATGGTGGGACTGAGGTTTAGAGATAGTGGCCTGATTTAGGCATAATGCTAAACCAGGCATAGGCAAACTCGGCCCTCCAGATGTTTTGGGACCACAACTCCCATGATCCCTAGCTAACAGTAGTCAGGGGTGATGGGAATTGTAGTCCCAAAACATCTGGAGGGCTGAGTTTGCCTATGCCTGTGCTAAACTGTCGTTATGTAAAGGAACCTGCCCAAGCCGTGCTTCATGCAACCCTCTCCTCAGCTGAGCCAAAAGGAGAGAATTGGAAACACACACTTCTTATTTTTAACTAAGTATATGTAGCTTAGTGTTATGCTTGAAGAGGAAGCCCTGTGGTCTGTATAGATGATGGCTTATTGAAACAAGCCATGACCAAACTGTGGTGTCAGATCCTGGCTTGTTCTAACCACAGTTCCTCATGTCTGGATGTAAACTATGGACAGTTAAAAACAGGAAGTAGATGCGTCCACTTTCCTCCTTGCAGCCATGCAGGAAGTTTAGAGGAGTGGGAAGACTCCAAAACATGAGCAGGCTTTTTCATGTAACACTACCCTATGATGTGTTGTTACATTCAGACCAGGCCAGCGGCTTACCTAAGGTAATGCAGGCACAGTTCAGGCAAGATTTCAAGCAGGGCCTCACCCTCTTAGCCACTAGGAAACAACTGATCAAGACTGTACAACCACCAGGCCAGGTGCAGGTCATCTTAAGCTATATAAACCACCATGCACCATAAACAAAAAACAAATGTGTTAGAGAAAGGACATTCCAGAGCAAATATCTCTGGATGGCTTAAGCATGTGAGCCAGTGTGGCAACCAGAGAAAGTTTCCTGACCTGATAGGAAATTTTCCAGCACTTGGAAACCCATTCCTTGAGTGAAATGGTAGTTGCCATTTCTAATGGTCTGGAGATGGGAATGATTCAGTTCAACAAAAATCAGTATGGATTGCTGATTTTTATCATCTTCAGTTAGAGCACAGTATTGAAAAGAAGAATGTTTCAATAACTTTTTTTTTTAATAAAAAGGATCAAACCATAGTGTTAATCTCTCCCAGCTCTACAATCTGGTCCATCTTTGTTTCTGTAGTGCCCTTCATGTAAACATCCCTGGGTGTTTCACACTCATTAGGAGTTAATTAGCTTGGAGGCACATAGGCCTCCTAGAAGAACTGCTCCTAAAATGTTAAGAGGGAACAAATGAACATTTTTAACATTGGCTTTAGAAATCTCGCTAGCCACAGTTTCCTTTGCCTCATTTGGCAGCAAATCCTAAAGCAAGCAAGCAAGCACAAGAGACCCAAGTCGAGGCAAAACAGCAAATTGGCTCGAGGTAGAGAGAAACAATAAAAGGACTTGGCTTTTGCTGAACTCAAAAGACTGACCAGGGACTTTGAAGAACACTAAATCCATTACATGAGACGTTAGCAGAAATAAGTCGAGTGGTTATTAAAGAGAAAGAAAAACATCATGAAGCAGAAAATGTAGCAGTCTTGTGAGGCTTTGCACATGCTTCCGTTGACCCAGTGTGCTCCCACCACTGCTTTGGAAAATGGTAGACACACAGCATTCGTCACAATCCATATCTACCCTGTATCTATCCTGCTGTTTCTTAGGAAATAATTTTGATGCATTTCCCCCAAAACCAGCTTTGACTGAAATTGGGCAAAAGAAGGACCTCAGGCTCATCCTTTTATCCGGTGCCTAGAAAGTACAGGTCTGATAGATTTTCCCCTTGCCCCATTCCTTTCCCAGGGAAAACCCACTATGTAGCTTTAAATCGGAAAAAAACAGCAATTTGCTGAAAACCTGGCTTACGTTTGCTCTGATTTAAAACTAAACATCGGTTTTCCCAGGGAGGGGATAATCCCCTTGTGTTTTAAGTTCGAATTGTGAGCCCCAGAGAACTCCAACCGCTATAACAGCATAACTTAGGCCACAGAAGGTTGTGTAGTAAGAGATGTTGTTGCTCAAGTTGTGCATGCTCGTTTCAGAAAGGTTTTGCAGGTGTTTGACGTGGTACAATGGGGACGCGTGGTCTGAGCCTTTGATTCCATTCTTATGGAAGTATGTTAGCTTGTGAAAGAAGGAACATAGAAACATGGAGAAGCACATAAGTGGTTGCAGCTTCATGGATAATGCAACCACTCCTGCGTGTTCTGAGTTATTTCAGTCCTTTCCTAGAACTGCTGTCACGCTTGCTCATAGCTAGCTTATGAGGAAAACCAAATGATAGAAGAGTTTTCCTGCTTCCTAGACCAAATTGTCTGAGGGTCCCTGACAGCTAGACCTGGGCTTGAGACTTCACAGATCCTTCAAGCTTTGTAGCATCACGATGCTGTGTTTGATCAGGGAATTAATGTGTGGGAAGCAAGACAATTCAGTCAAAAGAATGCCTGAACATCTACTAACAATAAAATGGGCGGTAAGGCACCATGTTGGCTTCCCCTGATCTAGTTCACAGTTGTCTTAATAACTCAGCAACTCGACAAAGGTGATTCAAAGCTTTGCCTAGAGATGCCAGAGTTTGAACCTGGAACCTTGGCATGCTTTGCCACGGGCTTGGCCCCTTTCTTTTGAGTTTGTTGGACCTTCAGTCTGATCCAATGGGGCTCTTCTGACATTCTTGTCCTTGATGGACATATTAAAAAAAGGTAAAGGGACCCCTGACCATTAGGTCCAGTCGTGGACGACTCTGGAGTTGTGGCACTCATCCCGCTTTACTGGCCAAGGGAGCCAGCGTACAGCTTCCGGGTCATGTGGCCAGCATGGCTAAGCCGCTTCTGGTGAGCCAGAGCAGCGCATGGAAATGCTGTATACCTTCCCGTCAGAGTGGTACCTATTTATCTACTTGCACTTTGACGTGCTTTCGAACTGCTAGGTTGGCAGGAGCAGGGACTGAGCAAAGGGAGCTCATCCCATCGCGAGGATTCAAACCGCCGACCTTCTGATCGGCAAGTCCTAGGCTCAGTGGTTTAACCCACAGCGCCACCCGCGTCCTGGACATATTAAAACACCCCCAGTTATTCATGCAGGAAACAAATGATCAAGTTGCAACTCTCAATGCTAGGACACCAGCAAGAAGGAACTTTTTATTCATTTCTCAGCACTTTTTT